ATCTGTACTGATATTACCTCTCTTGTTCCTGATATTAGTAGTCTCTTTGATTTTTCCTGATCAGTTTGGCAAGAGTTTTATCAATTTTATTGACCTTCCCATTGGTCAATAAAATTTGGTCTCATGAATTTTCTCTATGGTTTTTCTATTTTGTTGATTTCTGCTTTGATTTTTATTATTTGTTCTCTTCTGCTTACTTTAGGTTTAATCCAGTCTTCTCTCTCTTTTGCTTCCCTTGGGGGTAGCTGGGGTCACTGACTTGAGCTCCTTCTTCTCTCATCAGCCATTTAGTGCTATAAATTTCCCCCAAAGTCCTGCTTTAGAAGGATATCACAAATCCTGATATACTGTATTGTCTTTTAGTGCAAATGCTTTATTATTTCTCTTTTGATTCTTTCATGATCTTGGATTAAGTAATTTAGCTTCCAAATATTTAAAATTTTATTTCAAAGACCTTCTTCCTATTGATTTCTAACTCAACTCCATTGTGGTCTGAGAATATATTTAGTAGGACTTGAGTTCATTTAAATTTATTGAGACTTGTACTGTATACTAGATTATGGTCTAATTTGGTAAATGATCCATGTGCACTTGAAAAGAATATCTTCTGTTGGGTGGAGTATTCTATAAATCTCAATCAGATCAAGTTAGCTGATAGTGTTGTTTGGGTCTATTACATTTTAGATTTTCTTCTAACATGATAAATTACTGAGAGAGGTTGAAATCTCTGATTATAATTGTGAGTTTGTCTATTTGTTTTGCTATTCTGTCACTTTTTGCTTCATGTATCTTGAAGCTCTTTTATTAGTTACCTAAATGTTTACCATTATTTCCTCTAAATTAAAGTTAATTATGAAATGAACGTCTTTACCCTCAGCATAATTCTCTGCTATGAAATGTATGTTGTCTGATTTTAATATAGCAACTCAAATTTCCTTCAGACTAGTATTAGCATAATGTATCTTTTTCCATCCTTTACTTTTAACCTACTGTGTCTTTAAAGGTTGTTTCTTAAAGTCAGGATTTGGTTTGTTCTTGCTTTTTAAAACCAGTCATATCAACCTTGGTCTTTTAACTGAGGAATCCTAAATTACTTACATTTGATTATGGATGATTACATTTGAGTGTATACCTTGCTACTTCTTTCCTATTTTTTCTATCTATTCTTGTTTTCCTTTTCCTATTTTTGCCTTCTTTTTGATTATTTTTGACAATTCCATCTTATCTCATTTGTTGCCTTATTAGCTACAACTTCTCATTATTTTAGTAGTTACTTTAGGGTTTATAGTGATTTTTTTTTTTTTAAAGAGACAGAGAGAGTCTCACTTTGTCGCCCTTGGTAGAATGCCATGGCACCACAGCTCACAGCAACCTTCAGCTCCTGGGCTTAGGCTACTGTCTTGCCTCAGCCTCCCAAGAAGCTGGGACTATAGGTGCCCACCACAAGGCCTGGCTATTTTTGTTGTTGTTGTTGCAGTTTGGCTGGGGCCAGGTTTGAATCCCCCACCCTCAGTATATGGGGCCAGTGCCCACTCACTGAGCCACAGGCGCTGCCCTATAGTGCATCTTTAATCAGTCTACCTTCAAATGTTATTATACCACTTCACATGGAGCATAAGAACCTTACAATAAGGGCTGGTGCAGTGGCTCACACCTGTAATTACAGCACTCTGGGGGGCCAAGGTGGGTGGATTACTTGAGCTAGGAATTCGAGACTAGCCTGAACAAAAGGGAGACCCCATCTCTAAAAATATCCAGGTGTTTGGCAGGACCCTATAGTCCCAGCTACTTAGGAGGCTGAGGTAAGGGGATCACTTGAGCCAAAGAGTTTGAGGTTGCTATCAGCTATGATGCCACAACACTCTACTGAGGGGGACAAAGTGAAACTCTGTCTCAAAAACAAAACAAAACAAAACAAAACAAAACTTAAAATCCTTACGATAGTGTACTTCTTTTTTCCCCTATGAACTTTAAGCCATGTGACTTTTACACATTACAAATCCTATGATTATTATTTTATGTAACCATTACCTTTTCAAGATATTTAAATAAAAAGAAATAAATTTTACACAATTAGCCACATAGCTTCCATTTCTGGTACCACTCATTTTCTACACAGATCCAGATTTCAATTAATATCTGATATCATTTTTTTTGCTACCTAAAAGAGTTCTTTTAATATTTTTTATACTGTTTGTCTTCTAGCAATAAATTCTTAGAATTTTTATATCTGAAAAATATTTTTACTTTCTTTTTAAAAGATATTTTTGCTAGATATTGGTTGACACTTTCCTTTAATTTTTTCAAAGATGCTACTCCACTGCGGTCTCACTTGCATTATATCCAGTGAAAAATCTGATGTCATCTCAATTTTTTTTTTTGAGACAGTGTCATTTTGTTTGTATAACTCCATAGCAGATTACTCAAAAGATATCCACAATTTTACAAAGAACCAGTGAAATACACACTCTCGTCAGAAATCCTAAACCTTGGATACCGCTAACCTGCATTTGAAGACTCGAACTATAACAACTGCCATGTCATTGATTCTCAGGTGATTTAAAAACACAACATGGAAAAAGATTCTTACCTGTCCCATAGGTTGTTACAAGGCCCACAGAAGATACTTTATGTAAAAACACTATATAGATCCCATTCACAGTCATTTGTTTATTCATTCAACAGACATCTGTATCTATGCCCAAACCTGGTGCCAGGCTTTAGGAATACAATGCCAAATTAAGATGCTCTATCAGCCAGAGAGCTTAAACCCAGGGTGGGGAGATGCACATGTAAACAAAGCAGTGCTATAAGCAAGAAATGACAGAAACAGGACAACACCAAGTAGGGAGTGGAGAGGGAGCCTAGTGCTCAGGGGAAAGGGAGGTTTGTATGTCAGGAGGCTATGCATGAGCTCTGCTCTTCTCCTCTGGGATCTCCCCACCCCTTACTCTTTTTCTCATCCTAAACTCGAGCTATGTCTCTCTTTCTTTACAGTGCCACAGTCTCTTCTCTCAACTCTAAAACCTGAAAAGTTACCACCTAAGCCCAAGAGCTGGAGGTTGCTGTGAGCCGTGACACCACAGCACTCTACCGAGGGTGACAAAGTAAAACTCTGTCTCTAAAAATAAATAAATAAATAAAATAAAATCTGAAAAGTTCTTAAAATCTACACTTTTTTTCTACATATTTGGTGTAGAAAAAAACCTGACCTGAACTGATATAAGCCTTTTTGATCATCAGTATTTCTCCTATTTCTCAGCCTAGTTAATAATTTCTTCATCCACCCATCATCTAAGCCAGGAATTGAGCTAGCCATAGCCTTTTTTCCTTCTATCTCACCCTCCAAAACTCAAATGCACCAAGCCTTGTCAATGCTAGCCCTCAAATATGTGTATCCTCGCTATTTCCTCCTCTCTATTCTTCCAGTGGCTCCCTTAGCCAAGGCCTTCATAGTCTCAGTCACACCATTACAATAACCTTCTAACTCTGCCCTAACAATGCTTCTCACAATTCAGCCTCCACATCGTGGCCAGTTTGATTTTTCTCAAAAGATCATCTGATCGCGTAGTTTCCTTGATTAAAGTACTCTGATGTCTCCGTACTCTCTATAGAAAAAGCGAAATTCCTGAGCATGTGATAAAAGGTTGGCCACTATTCAGCCACCACACACCTCTTATGACATGTCTCCCAGCACTCTATTCAACATACACTGCAGCCATGCAGAAATGTAGTTCTCAAGAGGTGATGATCTGTTTCCCAATCCCTCTACCTTCACACAAGCTTTCCCTGTGCCCTGAAATCTTCTTGTGTGCCCTGAAATCCTCTTTCTTCTCCACTCCCACTCTCTTCTTTCTGTTTATCCAGAGGCTTATTTATCAACATTAGATCTAAAGGAGAAAACCTCAGGGCATCCTTCCCTTCCCCTGCTCCAGGCAACACTGACCATGTCACTTCCTCTGTATATTTTTGAATATGAACTTAATGTCTATGAGGCCAGTAGACTGAGATGCCTGGAAGGCTGGGATCACTGCTTATCCCCAGTGTCTAATACTTGATCTAGCACATAGTAGGTGCTCAAAAAGTACTGGTGAACAAACAATCTTTTCAACTTTCCCAGACAATGTCTTGTCCTTTTACTTCCTCAGCAGCCTCCCCTCATTCCCCAGAAGCTCTGTTTTTCATCTACTACAACTGTTCTTCTAAGATTTTCTCTAATTTATATTCTTCTTTCCTGCTATCATTATCAGAAGGAGCACTTGGGGAGTAACAAGAGCCCTCTGCCAGTGTTTCTTGCCCTTGGCACTACTAATAACATGTTAGGCCAGATAACTCTTTATTGTGAGGGACCTCCCTATGGATTATAGGAGGTTTTAGTAGCATTGCTGGCCTCCACCCCCTAGAGGCCATAGCACCCTACCTCAAAACATCCTCAAACATTGCCAAGTGTCTGGGGCTGGGGGGGAAGGGGCAAGAACTCTCCCCTACTGAGAACCACTGCCTTAGACTAACTTTTCTTGACTACCTTAACTACCTCAGGCAAAGCTAATCAATGGTTTCCTGTACTACCTGCCAGATGAAAAATGACGAGAGAATAAGACTCAGATATATTAGTTTACTGTTTAGGGAGTGTATGACCAACAAATGCAGGCTGGAATGATACTTCGGGGGACAATAGCACTCAGTAGGCCTGAGAAGCATCCATTTTGTCACATCACCAGAGTTCCAGGTTGCAGGATTAGTTGTATAAATATTTTCCTGAGCTTGATTTATTCAGTGCTACTGAAATGACCAGCAAGAGATACATTTACGCAGCAATTTAATGCTATTAAATCTTCCTCCAATATTTTTTCAAAAGAGATGGAATATACAAAATTAAAATAAACAAACTGAGTAAAGTATTAAGCCACAAACAAAGGAAAGCAGAGGAGACAAATCATACAAATAGCACAGGAAATTAGAATGTCTCGGCACAAGGAAGAGAAAAGCATGGTACCCACCTGTGGTAGACACAACATCCTCAGAGCTTTCACTGCACAGCTTTGACAACAGACTTGTCTTACCAGAACCTGTGAGGCCTATGCAAACCAGGTCATACTCTGGGCGTGCAGGTGGTGGTCCCTTGCAGCAAAGTGCTCTAAAACACTGCCAAAAGAAGGGGAGAGATGTGGTTCTTTTAAACAAGATTGCGGAAACAAACCTTAGAAACATTTACCATAACTAAAAAGTATTAAGACTATTTAAGCATTAGATAAACTGTAATATAAGGAGGAAAATAAATGGTGACTTTAGAATGAAGAAACCACCTTAACCAAGCAATCAAGGTTAATATGTCATGAGACATATGTCCACCTCATGGCAGATGTGCGACAAGAGGCATCATTACACAGCATTGCCCCCACTGCACAACTTCAGTCTAAGCATGAGGAAGCCAGATAACATCAATCTGAGAAAAACCTATAAGACAATCAGCCTGTTCACCTCTAAAATAATAGTGTCTTCAAAGTCAAAGAAAGACTGAGGAACCATTCCAAGTTAAGGAAGACTAAAAAGACATTACAGTGAAATGCAATCTATCTTGGATTGAATCCTTGATCAGGAAGAAAAAAAATGCTATCAACAACAATAGATGAGGACTGAATACAGATTAGAGGTTACATTTCCTGAAGGTAATAATTGTACTGTGGTTACGTAAAGAACATCATTGTCCTGGTAAAACATTCTAAATATTTAGAATGCCTCTAAGTATTTAGAGAAGAAGGGTCTTGATGTCTGCGATTAACTGGCTCAGGAAATTTCTAAATCTCTCTGTCTCCATCCTGGTGAGGAGAGTAATGAAGCCAATGTGGCAGAATGGTAATGACCGGTCATACTGGGTGAACAGAATCCTTGTTCACATCTTACAACTCTTTGATATCATTTTAAAAATCATTAAATAGAGTCCTTGTATATTTCACTACCTTCCTGGCGTTGGCTAAACTCTGTTTCAGGTCAAATGACCTTAAAATACTATGAATTTTTTGTGCATGTAGCCAGTGCACCACACAACCCTGTTTGCTCTGCAAGAATTAAAGGCAAGGAGATTTGGGAGACAGATTGTTATTCCTGTAGATCTTGATCTTTCTACTTATCCTCTACCCACTTATTAGGGGCCAAGTATATTCTAGCTTATAAAGCCTGAATGACTCATGAGTGAAAGAAAAAGGAAGAGAGAGGGAAGCAGAACCATTCACTTCTGGGTCATCTGAAGATGATAAGAGAAGAGACATGTAAGAAGTCTGTGTTGATTCTTCTCAGATAAAAATGTGAGTCCTAATTGGCTGTCATATTCTCATAAATTAAGCTTGATTATTTCTCTCCCTCATTTCTCACATTTAGTCCACAAATCTGGTCCTTCTGACCTCCAAAGCAGCTCTAGAATCTGTCTGCTCCTCTCCAGGCCGTCGTCACCTGGACAGCATCAATATTCTCCCACTGGTTCCGCACATTTACCCTTCTACTTGCTATTCTCTACACAACAGCCACTGTGACTGTTTATAAAAAGAACGTCTGATCAGATCTACTTTAGTCACTTCAGTGACCTCTCCCTGCCATTGGGCCCAAGGTCTTACCACGCATGGAGTGTGCCACACCCCACAATCTGCTCTAGCCAATCCCTCTAGCTATGCCAACCCTCTCTTACCTTGAGGCACTTACTATACTGTTCCCTCTTTCCCTGGCTCTTGGCTTAGCCAACTCATCAATTTTTAGGTCTCAGCTTAATCATACTCATTCCTCAGGGTGGTCTGCACTGGTCCTAAGACTGCACTACAATTCATGCCAAGTTCTGCAGCACTTTTGTGAATTCATCGCAAAGATAATTACAGTTTCTTATTCATCACCATACGGTGAGAACCATGTCTGTCACCTTCACCCCAACCCCAGTGCCCAACAGAGGACACAGCACAGATTCTACTTTCAGTAAATAATTATTGAATAAAGAATGAATGACATTTAAATTTCACTTAAGAAAAAAGTTGCTAGGACACTTGATCTTTGGTTTCTGAGACCCCATGCATCAAGAAAAGTGTCAAAATAAGAGAAACTTTTGACTTCTTTACTTCATTTCAATGCCAGAAATTAGACTAGCTCCCAAAAGAGTAATACTGATATACAAGATCAAGTTTTTCAGATTAGGACAAAAAGCAACTCGAAAATTCATTTTTCCTCAGGTTTTGTTTTGTTTTGTCTTAAGAAGTTCTGCCTACTTTTGGCAAACAATTCTATGCCCCATATTCTTCAAGGATTTATCCAACTCTAATCTTGTGACCTCTAGGTCCTTTCAAGCCAGAGGAGTCCTACTTATTTCAGCTGGCCTTCACACTCTCCCACTCCTTTATCTGGGTGCTCTTCCTTGGCCTCACTTTAGCTCCAGCATGCATTCTCCTACAAGGTTAATGACCACAACTACCAACATTCTAGATGTCAACATACCATTTCCTAGATTTGTTTCAAGGTTAGCTGATATTGACTAACTTTCTATAGACGTTTTATAATGTCTATCTCCCACACTAATGAAGACTTTTTCTCAGAGATTTATATATGCATCTATGTATGTATGAATTCCCTTGAAGATGGCCACTGACTAGCAGCTGTTCATACCCAGGAGAGGTCTTCCATGCTTGGGTATGGCAGGCATACTAGGCTGCTTTGGTCTTCACTGAAAAGGAAAAAAGGGAGAGGACCTATTCCTGTTTCTGGAACACCCCCAGTCTCACTCAGCTCCTCTGCCAGAATTCCACTGGACTATGTCCTAGAGTAGGACTGGCCCAAATAATCATAAATCTTAAATACAAAATGTTAGCGTATGTGACTAATTGTTATATCATCTTGTTTAAACTACTTGTATACTAGTATTACTCAATATATTTTGGCCAAAAGTTCTACAACTTCATCTTCATGTTCTTTTTTAAAATCTAGAATATAAAAACTTTATAGCCAAGCCCATTAATATCTCTATCACCTGTTAATTTATTCTGGGTCACCCGATACTTTTGACATAAAAGATAATTTAGCAATGACATTCTATTCTACTTCTTTGTTCTTCTCTATTTGTGCTCTTACTCACAATGCCATCTTCACTGCCATTGTTCCAATCACATAGATGGTAAAGACATCCAACATGACATCTCTCCCCAGCACCTCCCAAATCTTTTTCCTCTATAGTTCCAGTTGTTCTGTAAGAACCTAAATAAAATTGAATAAACCTCCCCACAAAACTAGAGGCTATGGAAATAAGATACCAGATACTTTGGGACACAAAAACTAGACTGATAGTTATTACAAGGAAGAATCTTTGAACTAAATCAGATTCTTAGAAATAAATATGTATTTGGAAACAATAAGTGAACAAATAAACCTATCCTATAGCTAACAGGAACAGTGTCAGATTTTGAGCCAACAAAAAACTTTTAAGAGTATGCTACTTCAAATAGGGAAGGAATGTTCCTGTTTTTTTGAGTCAGTTCCTAAAAACTACACAGAATTTTCTTTCTTTTCTTTTTTTTTAACTTAACAAAGCTTTGGATCTTATAGTCAATTTACTTAAAATTACTCATTTCGGCCTCTAGACTATACTGTACCAAAGTTCATTGTGTTTGTCTCCTACAGCAGCTCTTGCATTGTTAACAGTAAGCCCTTTTCACTGTTGTACAATGCAAAACACAATGCTGTCGGCAGTCCTGACAGCAAGCGGCAAACTCAGGCTTCATTCCCAGGCCAGACACTAAGGCATTGTATAACTCTGTTCAAGCCTCATAAACCTATCCATGCTTCAGTTTCCCCATGATTAACCAGTAACGTTTTAACACTATCTGCTACTTCCTTTCTTCAGGAGGTTGTTACGAGGCCTGGGTTCAACGCATTATGCTACTAAGAAAGGCACCATACGGGTAAGTAACTGTTCATCAAGATGCTCTTTTTCCCAAGTATCCTGGATGGTAGCTAGCTTCCTTGGGCAAGAGCCTGGCAGCCCAGCACACAGCCCAAACTGTAGTACTGCCCCTTCTATCAGCCCAGCCCATCTCAGTTCAACTAAAGACACACAGACAGCCCTTGGCCCTCAGTTGCAGCAGGTAATAGAGAACAGAACCAGTCTGAATTATAACTATACTCTCTAGGAGGTTAACCAAAGGCATGGACCCAGTTGCCTACTCTGCTTCAGTTCACAGGTCTTTTCACAGTCATGATTTGCTCCTTTTTTAAAAACCCAGTGTATCGACCACATTATGTCAGGACATAGGATGTTCCTCCAGCACATACCCACAAGCTTTTACCAGTGTTACATGTGAGGAAACGGTGTGCTAAGGTCTGGACAAAGGGCAAAGACCAGAATCCCCAGCAATAACTCTGTGTCATGAACTTTGGACAAATCATATAATCACATTATCTATATCTGAAATATGAATTAGCTAAAAGGCAGAAGCAAAAATCCTTAGGCATATTTACTTGAAAAGGAAAGTGACCACATATATTAGAAATAAAAATAAGCAAAGATAAAATTACGAGACTAAAATGAGGACTTGCATTTCAGACTTGTGGCCTAGCACCAAGAGAGCAAGATCATCTTAAAAGGTCCTCATTTCTGTTAAGGACAGTGCCAGAAGTTTGGTAGTCTGGCAAGCCAACGCTGCAATGCACCAGTATTTAACTATATACTCCATTTCCCCTGTAATGACACCAGCCACACTCTAAATCACTCACTAGACCCTCAGTCTGAACACTTAATGTTTTTGTGCCACCCTGGTCCTATGCTCTCCGTATGAAAGGTCCCCTTTCTTTTCTACTAGGTAAACTCCTACTAGAAGTTCTGCTTTGAGTCTCCAATTCCCTTGGGGAGAACGAATCCTTTCTTCAACTCCTTGGTCCTATACACACACACTTGTAGAACTGCAGTGAATACTATGACATGTATTTTTTTCCTAATTGTGAGATTCCCTAGCTGATAGAAGTATTCACACAGACCCAAAGACGCATCCATTCTTGGTCCTATTATTGGTTCAAAAAGCTTAGTTTTATAACTACCAAGGGTTATCAGGCACTAAAACAGCAGCAAAGTTGTCCTACAAATACATATTCCTAGATGAGAGTCTAGCTCAAAATCCTCC